TAATCCCTAAATGTTAAAATTACAACCTTAAATATTAAGGACTATGGGAACTTGGGTAGGTACCCACTTTGTGTTGCTGTTAAAAATACATGACTGATTGAATGTTAGGAAAGAGTATCTGTTGTATAAGAAACAATAGGTCAAATACAGGCAGGCTATTTGTAACATAAGAGCAAACGACACCAGATTCCCAATGGAAGATATGAAGGGCTGGATAGAAACCGGAGTGTCACAACCTTTGTATTGCCAATCGCTTGACATACAACTATCATATTTTCTTACAATGTAAGAAAGAAAGCATAATAAATGTTAAAAAAAAGGTTCACCTAAGTATTATTTCAAACCGTCCATTCTTTTTTTTTTTAAATACGTTTTGTTAATGCAATCAGGTAAGCCAAAATGTATTTAAAAATAAGGGCGTTTTTCATTTATTTCTTTATGTAAAATGTGTTGTATTGTAGGCGCGCCGTGTTCCATCTTTTGTTATTATCGTATGGCCACATTGTGCTACATACCATGGGATCCTTAGCTATTTATTTCAATAAAACTGTGTGACATTATAATAAACCTGTCTGTCCTGTTTTCAGGGAGAAGGCGGTAGCCAGCACAGGGAACCAGGGAATAGAACAAGCCATGGACTGGTGAGTGACACACACACAAAACATATCAGTGTTGAACTGACGTGAGGACACGGTCCTCTATCATCACCGAAGGCCCCACTCTCACGTCTCTCCTAAAACCCTCCTGTGCTACTCTTTCCCCGGCATACTATGGACTCTTTTCCTTAACAAAGTAAGTTTGCAGCCCTCACCTTTACTGTTTGTTTTCTCCTCAGGTTAATGGTGCATGAGAACGACCCAGACATCGATGAGCCCTTCGTGCCGCCTGTAGGGAACGTGGTGGGGGGAGCAGCCGTCACCCAGTCCCCCACAGACGAGCCGTCAATAGCAGACCCCGCTGAAGGTAAGGAAGAAGCAGACACTACCATTAAAGCCATCTAGGCATGCACAAAATGACACTATACACCTTCAATTTGTAAATGTAAGGTATATAGTGTCATTTTGTGCATCAGGTTGACGCATGGATTAAAGGCTAAAACATTATAGTTAACAATGAGTTATTTATAGCAGGATATGATATTATCCATGCTGCTCATAGCAAACCCTATTCAATAGCATGTTTTTCAATCTATAAGCCAAATCTAAACTCTAACTAAGCCTGGCTGTCCCAGTTAATTTAAACTGAACAATATATGAGTTCAGTTAGGAGTCAGGAGGTTAAATGGTAGCTTCACTTGATTCTTTTCTCTGTCAGTGTTCAGTGGTGGAGGTTTTCTGCTTTGTGGTGTAAGGTGTGTAGGTTAGCAGCATTATACTTTTAGCTTTCAGTCATGGTTGACATTTAAACCCCACACAATACAACACATCCCTTTTATCTTTGTTCACTTTCTCATGTACATTTGTTTGGGCTTCAGGGACAGCAGGTGGAGACGGCAGCATCGATGTTGATGATCCTTCAAAAGTGCCATTGTCAGAGGAGGAGAGACTTGAGCAAGTGAGAAGGTAAAAGTGCACAACTATTCTATATTTGATCACTTAAAATATAATCTATGGTCATGAGTTTGGCAGCCTAACAAAAATAGAAGCACTTTATTTTCTGTTTATTTAACCCTCATTTTATAAAAGTGCTAACATCTTTCGTCTGTTCTTTATTTAGGCTAGAGGAGCTGATGCGGCTGAAGCAGGCGGAGAGACGAGAGCGAGAGCGGGCAGAGGAGTTGGAGCGGGAGAAGCAGCGGAGGAAAGACGGCCAAGAGCTGCAGCATATTCGCCAGAAGCTGCAGGATGATGATATGAAGAAACTCAGCGATCAGCGCATGAAAGAGAAGATGGAGGACAAAATGGCGAGGTAAGAGATTCATGACAACACAGTATTATTATTATATCTATTTACACTCGGTAGTAGTAACAGCACTTTTCATTGACCACAATTGATGTTTTAACAGGAATTAAAATAATAATGTACTTTAACATCTCTAGAGGTGTCCACTCTCCCTGTTTTCCTTTCAATACAAATATTTTCCAAAACACGGAAATGACTATTTGCAGTCTTATCTCTTCCTCATTATAATGTATGAGTGCAACAAAAAAAAAGAAACAATTCAAAAACACTGAGCGAAGACCAGAAATGATTGACATACTCAAATGCAGTCAGACAGAGATCCTTTTAGGTTAAATCAGCATCAAATTAGTCGATCTAACTCTACAACACTCCACCACTGTCAACGTTTGCAACTACTCTAAGTATTTAATGCCTGTTACTGTGGGCTTGTCTTTTTTTCCCATCAGGCAAAGGGTTAAAGACAAGATTGCACGAGACCGAGAGGAGAGAGCACAGAAGGTAAGCCCAGCCATTGTTCATCTCCTTCCTTGTAACATTCATTTAGTTTAATTTGCTACTGATGTTGGAACCAGTAACAACTTGTTTTTGATCCATTAAGTTTGGAGTTGTTGCCCCCTCGAGCACGGCGACATCGTCCCAACCTGCCCAGCCCACCCCCCCGTCCCCCACCAGTCACGGCCCTCCACCCACTAAGAAGGAGTATGACGAGTCCAGGATACAGGTACAGACACACACCCACACACACCCACACACACTCCCTCATGCTGCTCCTCACAACACTTCAGCAAGACAATAATTCAAAGTTGTGTAATTAGTTGTTAATATTTCTCAATTGCCGGTTTTCTTTCCTCCCTCCCGTTCTTTTCTGCTTCTTCCCGCTGCAGATACGCCTGCTGGACGGCTCCACCCTCACGGCAGTGTTCAAAGCCCAGGAGCCGCTGGCGGCCGTGCGCGTCTACGTGCAGGTGAACGGCAACACACCGGAGGGTCAGGACTTCACACTGCTGTCCCCGTACCCCCGCAACGAATACACCGAACTGGACATGGAGAAGCCCCTCAAGGAACTGGGTGAGCACCGGGCGTTTACTCTTATGGCTCTATGAAATGTAAACTATTCGAATGGACCTTTTGAATGTCTGTTCTCATTTCTCTCTTTTCTATTTGTTGTTTTTCTCTCTATATAAATGTTATATATGGTGATGTCAGATTGCTGTTTGACTGCCCCATTAATACAGATGTGTTCCTTCCTTTGTTTTGCGGCAAAAGGTTTTCTAAGAAAGGCTTAACGCCAACAAATGTGGATTTTGACTTATGTACTTTTCATCGCCCTGAAGTAAAAATACTATGATCACACTAGTAGGACACAATCCTACTTAGCCACTGTGGATATCTAATTATTCTACAAATAGTACAATACTTATCATACTAGTTAGCTAAAGAGAATCAATAGATGTAGGGTTTACATTTTTTTTTGCAGAATTTGAATGTTGATCTAGAATTAAATTCCAACACAATTAATAAAGCAATATACTATTCGTCACAGCCCTAAACAAATTTTAATTTAATCTCAGTGTTTGTGACTCGTATGTAACAATAGTTTTTGTATTTTAGTGTCTGCATGGACCTTTAACTGTCCGCAGCTCCACACACTCCCAGTTTCTGACCTTTTGTTCTGTGTCTCTTCTTTGTGTCTCTGTAGGTCTGGTGCCTTCAGCTGTGCTGGTTGTTATCAAAAAGTGAGATCAGGAGGGTCCGCTCTGTGAGCCTACCTCACCACTTCCACTGCAGAAACACAGGAGACACAGGAAGCAGATTGGACCGGGAACAGAGCCTCCACCTTTCAGTATCACTCAGCAAGCCAGCTAACTGACCTGAAGCAGAGAGGAAGCTGTGTGTAACTACTTTAAGAAGTTTAACTCACTGATTGCTGCCCTTTGCCATGCTGGGCGTATAGATTGTTTTGTGTGCAATGACTTATGGACTTTTAATTCAAGTGAAGATAGCTGGCTTCTGACGGATACTGATGCATTTATATGAAGTATACAGAATCTTTCAATTTTAACCTGATCCTTACAAAGCAAAGTACCACGGAGACCTACCCGATCGCTTCTGAAAGGGCCTTACATTTTATCTCTTGATCTTCCTGATTTTGTCATGCTCTACTTTGCTAGTTTTTTTTTTTATATAAGTTAAAATGTATGGACGGGTATGTCTGCATTATCACCAAGAATCTACTTAAATAAAGCTGACTCTGAGAAATATGATGGTGGACTGGAATTTCTAACAATCACATATTCAACCTTCTTTAAAATAAGTCTGTCAAAGAATTACCGTGAAAAGACTCAAAGCAGTGATTGATTGCATACACACCTGGATTTTGGGTCTGAAAGTGTTCCCCAAAATGCACTATTTTACACTTGTCTGCTAAAAACTACAATGCCCAGCTGTTTAAGGGGAAATTATATAGCCTTTTTACAAAATGAAACTAAATGTGATAGCCATAACTACAGATGTAAGTCTTCAGTAGGATCAAATAGTTTGGGCGTTAATTGAAAGGAAATGAAAGAAACTACAGTGAGACAGTTTAACATTGAAGTCATTTCATGGGATTTGTTAAAAAAAATCAGCATCCTTTTAACAAATGTATTTACCACATACAACATATTGCGCACACTTAACACGGTTGTAATGTTTTGCAGCAAAATTATTTGTCAAATTCATCATGTTTGACTTCTCCTAAAGATATAATGCGTGGTAAATGTTAGGGATTTTATTGAACTATTTAAAATTGGAACATGCTTAAAAATACTAGCGAGCATCTGCAGTACACTTGTTTAGGATATTAGACATCTAGTGAACTGGAACTCTGACACACAAAGGACACACTTTTGGTTGGTAGCACCTGACAGAAATGTAAGGGATGTATTATCAAAGGGAACAGGGGAAGATCACAGCCTCTGTAACCCACCTGCTTTAAGATTATTAAACTGACACAACTTTATGATGAGGACATTTTCCTAAAGTTCCAGCTGACATGAATTCGAGGCAATGCAGTGATGCACACTAACTCTTTCCCAACTATGAAGAAGACGCTGCTGTAGAAAAGAGCAGCACACAGGCCAAAAGATTTATTTTCACAATTAATGAGGTTGATTTTTCTCCCTCAGTATGGAAGTACAAGCAAACAGACACGCGACACAAACAGCACTGTTGTGACACACTATAAAACACCTTTATATACATTAGAAAAAACAACAAATAGCCTACTCTGGAATGGTACAAAATATTCGATCACACATGACCTGTAAAGTTGGATGACTTTAAAACCGGAGCGATGGGGCTGGGTTTGCAAACAATTACAAAAATATTTCTGATTAAAATTGAGAGACACTGATGCACTGAGAGTGGGAGTGTCACCGTTTCCTTTCCTCATATCTGCACCCCTCCCTCAGAATCAACACTGAAATGACACAACATGCTAAAAGAGCTCATATCCCGCCTCTCATTCAATTCATTCCAGGACAGTGAGGCGACTCACGGATGGGACGGAGAGGAAAGGATGATTTGTTTTTTATCATGTGGACCGGCAGGACTGCGTGGTTCAGTTTGTTGTTCAGCTGAGGACTCATCCTGGGTCAAAACGTTTCCTGTGTTTTTGTTGGTGTCACAGTCACAGTTGTCCCCTTTAGCTGGGAGGATAATAGCCTTGGTTGTAGTTCCAGTTCTGGTATCCGTAGCTGCCGTACTGCGGTTGCTAAAAACAAATCAGAACAAACAGGAAATAAGGTACACAGAACCAGGGTTGTTGTTGTAAACTAAAAAAGCAGTGAAAAATAAAATGACAAACTAAACTGAACCGATATTGCCTGGCTAAAGATGTATATAAAAAAGAGAGAAGCATAACAAACTCATGTGACACTGAAGCACAGAAACTAAGAAACTTGAAATTCAACAAGATGGCGCTATGCCGCAATTACTTTGAGGTTTTGACAAGAACATGATTTATGTTAATAATGTATTGTATATTGTATTAAATGGTACCAATAACAACAAGCTCTGGGGCAAACCTTCAAACGCCAAAACGTTTTATATACCCCAATTTCTACTGCCTAATGTCTTCCAGAGTGTCGCTTCAATAGTTGACGTAAGGTAATGGTCAAATAATCAATATACCAGTTATTGTCGGAACAGCATCATTAAGCAAAGTTAAAGGAAATACTTTAATGAATAATCTTTGTGTAATGTGCTTGCATTCATCTGTACAATCTTTATTCCTAAATGCTTCTGTGTTCATGTTAATACTCCAGCCTGAACAGTGAACAGTGATGTGACTACACTCTCCACCCTACCTGGTACCAGCTGCTGTATCCCCCGTATCCGGCCTGAGCGCTGGCATCAGCGCCCATCACGGGGGGCGGGGGGGTGGTGATGGGGACATGCGGCATGGTGGGCGGATCTTGTGCAGACACAGCAACAGCCGAGCCGTCTTCACTTTTCATCAGCTTCTCTGTTTCCTCATCTCTAAAAGTCACATTTTACAAATGATTTAAATGCATTGGTGTGTTGGTTGAGATAAAAAACATCAGAAGGGCACAATATCAATAAAATGAAAACTGATTTTAGACTATTTGTGGATTTATATTTGAAAAACTTGAAATAAATTGTTCTAGGACTGAAGGTTAGACAAAAAGCTTTGTTGAAACTCAGAAAGAAACATAATTAGTTTCCTTTCAAAATAAAAGCATACACAATTGAATGTAGAAAGCTCACATCTTTTTCTATACATCTAGGAGCTGCAGAAAGTTACATTCTTTAAAAGTTGCTAACATCTAAATGACATAAAACAAATCAAACTCAATGGATTTACCCGTTCTCTGCTTCCCTCTTGGTTCCGCCCAGCTCCTTCAGCAGTTTCTGGTGTTCCTCGTAGACGGACAGCACGCTGCAGAGGAAGCAGAGACCATCAGGAACAACACTCAGGTCAGAGAGGAAGCTTTATACGTACAGGAGACCTATGTTGACCTCTGACCTCTCTATAGAGTTGCTGTAGTCCTCTGCAAACTGCAGGCCTCTCTGTGAGAAGAGGATCTTGGTGTGTGGGGCGAGGGGAGCGGCCAGGGCTCGCGTCACACACTCCTGCACCGCCTCGGCCGAGGGGTCGCCCGACACCTCCAGCTCCAGCAGGTTCAGGTGCAGCTTGTCGTTATCCTGAGGGAGACGGAGAACATTAAACACCAGAGTTTCTTTGTGTCTTGAGTTTTACCTTCTTGCTTTTTTTACTCCTGAAGGTACAAGTGTGATTCTGATTTACGTTTTCATCCATTACCATTCAAAGTAGACATGGAATATAAGAAGTGAAATGGATAGGGATGCTACTAATGTATTAATTTTCATAAATCTACAAAACATTTGCTGAGACCCGGATATAACAATTGTATTCGACAGGAAGTCTATAAGAAAACCTGAATATTGATTCTACAATGGTAAAGGACAAAGACATCCAGCAACACTCATTTTTAAAGCTGAAATCAGATCATACTCAGCATGTTTTCACATATTTTGCTTGAAAACAGTAGAAACAGTTAATAACCTATCAAATACTACCACTACTTCAATTATAGGGAAAGGCATGTTTTACATCTTCAGAGACAATGTTTATGAATGTGATGACTCAGTCTGACTGCTAGAATATAATAAATCAGCAGGTTGGTACCATTGATAAAATAGGCCTACTGCAGTAGAAATGTGTGTATATTCCAAAACGTCAATCAATACATTCCAACCACCAATACGCAAATTGTTTTATGGAAGTAAATCCGGATCTCTGAAACAGTTCTTTAATCTGTGTGGAATCAACGGAGGAAGAAGAGATGTGTGTAAAGCCTGTGATGATCTGAATCGTGTGGGTGTAGCCGTCTCACCGGACTGATCTCCAGCGCCTCCTGCAGAACTCCTCGGGCTCTGCCTGGGTTCCTGCCGAGCTTCAGCAGCAGGCGAGCCAGCTTGATGGAATAAAAAGCGTGTAACGTGGGCTTCTCTTTGGACTCCTCCACCGCCTCCCGCAGCAAGGCCTCTGATTGGTCCAGCTGACCCGCTCGCCTCTCCAGAGCCGCCCTGCGAAGACGGACCACCGCCAACCCCGGGAGCGATTTCTCCAGAGACTCCAGCACCCGGCGCGCCTCCGTGAGGTCGCCTGATAGAGAGAATTTGTTTTTATTTGGAGGATATATGAGAATATTTAATCTATTACTGAGAATAAGCATCATGTATTTAAACTCTTCTAAATATCCTTAAAAAAACATAAACACCATACACATCCGACAAAGTTTTCAATAACTATGAACATACTGAAAAGAGGGATGTAGAGTAAACAAAATGGTCATCAACTTATCTTATTGAACAACAAAGGCTTTAAAACTCCATAAAGTGCGGTCGTGACTGTCGAACATAAAAAACCCAATTTCACCATGTATGAGAAAATCTGTTCATCTGTAGGTGAAGTGAAAAAAGGATTTCAAAGACATTATTTGGGATTATAAAGTGGCTGTAAACTATATAAATCAGTAAACAATGACGTTTTCACCAGAATGAGCTTTGCAAATGTTTTACGAGGAAATGTGAGTTTTGTCGTACCGTGCCTCTCCTCGAAGGTGGCCCACTGCAGGTGGATGTTGGGTTTGTTCGCCAGGTGGACCTCACAGGCTCGCCTCAGAACGGCCCGCGCCTCGTCCACACTCTGCGTCTCCAGGTACTGGTTGTACTGAATGACACACAAGGACGACGTCACACAGAGATCGCATGTAGGGATAGTGGTGGTCTAATGGATAGTGAGGTGGGCTGAAGATCGGAAGGTTGTGAGTTCAAATCCCGCCAGGAACACCACCACTAGTGTGTCCTTGAGTAAGGCACTTAGTCCTTAGTTACTCCAGGGAGAATGTCCCTGTAATTGGTAATTGTAAGTCGCTTTGGATAAAAGCGTCAGCTAAATGAAATGTAATAATAATGTACACCCAAATGTCTCTTACTCATCTAATCTGTAGGCTCACAAGGAATCACACACACACACACACTTTTACTCCTTACCCTGATCCAGAACTCCTCATACAGAGCGCAGGCGATCAGACATCGCTCGAAAAGGATGCGGACCTTGTAGTCGTCGCGGGAAACCGCAGTATCCTGTGTTTCCTCCTGAGGCTTTGCCGTGACCTCTGACCCCTCTGTGTCCGCCTGGTCTGGATCTAGGCAGAGACAATGGCGTCAAAACAGTAATATATTTCAAATATTAAAAACACACTTGACCACAATATTAAAAATACATATTCTTCCACTTACCTGGATTGCTTTCTATTAATCCAGATTGTTTTTGGTGAGAGTTACTGAGTTTTCAAGTTAAAGCCCCAAAAAGAGATTTCTCTTTCTACAGATCATGACCTTGTTACCCAAGATAATATAAACAATATGACGCTACTTTGAGCATCGAAAGCCGGTTTCAATCTAGTTTCCTAATATCTGAGAGCAGTCAGACATCTCTAAAAACACCTCTACCGTAAAACTGGTTTTTGTTTTTTTACTTGGGGTTTATCTGGGCCCTCTGAAGAAGGGCTGGGATTATATGACAGGGATGCAAACTCATCAGGTATGAAAAAGGTGACAAGGATCCGAGCCCCCCGACCCCACGGAATATCGGCTTTAAAATGAGGAATAACAGAGGATTTTAGCAGTCAGAACAACTAAAGCAGCATTGTCAATAATAACAGAAACGCCAAAGAGTCACATCTAATAGAAATATATAAAAGCATTTATTTTAATTGTGTAGCAGTCAGTTTATAATTTTGGCAGCACTGTTGAGCATTTTGAAAATGTATTTTCATGCCTCTGTGCAAGGCTTAGTCTTTCTATCTTTATAGCCAGTGGTGTAAAGTAACTAAGTTCATAAACTCAAGTACTATACTTGGGTACAATTTTGAGATACTTGTACTTTATTTAAGTATTTCAATGTTTTGCTACTTTGTTCTTCTTCTCCTCTACAGTTCAGAGGTAAATTGTGTACTTTTACTCCACTACATGTATTTCATAGCTTTAGTTACATCACAGATGTGGATGAATGATGTGAAATATAACCAAGTGTTAAATCAGACTTTATTTCCACCTGGAGTAAATTCACAAGCTACCCTGCAGTATACAAAGTCATTCAAATTAGCTGCACCTTTACCAGCTTTGAGAACACTTTCATGATCAATCATTATAAAACATATCATATATATTATTCTGAAATGGACCAATCTGCACAATGACTACTTTTACTGTCGCTACTTTAACTATATTTTGATGGTCATACTTTTATACTTTTACTTGAGGAACATTTTGAATGCAGTACTTTTACTGTAACAGAGTATTCCTACACTCTGGCACTTCTAGTACAAGACCTGAGTACTTCTACTTTTACTCAAGTACAAGATCTGAGTACTTCTACTTTTACTGTCGCTACTTTAACTATATTTTGATGATAATACTTTTGTACTTTTATTTGAGGAACATTTTGATTGCAGGATTGTTCCTACATTCTGGTACTTAAAGATGAATGTGATGTCTGACTGCTAGAATATAATAAATCAGCAGGTTGGTACCATTGATAAAATAGGCCTACTGCAGTAGAAATGTGTGTATATTCCAAAACGTCAATGAATACATTCCAACCTGTTGTTCCTACATTCTGGTACTTCTACTTTTACTCAAGTACAAGACCTGAGTACTTCTACTTTTACTCAAGTACAAGATCTGAGTACTTCTACTTTTACTCAAGTACAAGATCTACACTTATACCACCTCCGTTTATAGCCTATGAAAAAAACTATTAGAAAACGAAGGCTAAAGCTAACGTTAATACCTAATATATATATATCATTCCAATAACTTGTATATAGACTCGTACTGCACTATTCCACATCATAACTTTATTTCATTTTTATAACTATTATTATTTTTGTATTGCTCATGCTCTTATTGTTATTATGTTATGTTATTATGTTGCATTGTTGGAGAAGCCTGTGACATAAGATTTTCAACTGCATAATTACTCTGTAGCTATGTCAGATTGACAATAAAGAACCGTGAACCTTGAACCTTGTTAGCAGATAGTGACAATGTATGCTAGTTAGCTAGCTCAACGATAATATTGCGACAGAAAAACGTTTCAGTGCACATCACGCTCTGCCGCTCCGACAGGTGAACACCTGAACGGCCCGTTCTAACAGCTGTTCACCAGCGGTCCAGTCTGTGCCACAGTGACTCCGGACCGCACAGTTAATATTAACGAACGCACCCGTAGGTAATATAGCTAATGAAGCTAGACCCTTATCCCGGAGCAGCAGAGCCTTATTATACATCCATGAGCAGAGCTGACAGGCAGGAAGACTCGAGCACACAGCTCACGCTTCATTATAATATATAAAAAAAGAACACCATGCGTGTCATGATGGCACATGGCACTTTTGGCTCACGGCCACAGATTACTCCGGGTCCCAGACCCCCCCCCCCATACCCCAAAAATATTTTTATTGCAGATCTACATGAATCACACAAACGACCTATTTTGGATTCAAAACGGCGAATTTCGCCGAAAGGTGACAAGTTTGCATCCCTGTATATGACAGCATGGCCACCTTGTTGGGGGTCTTTGGTGTCCGGGTTCAGCTGAGCGATCTCCCAGTCCAGGTAGGTGTGCCAGGCTCTCAGCTGGACGCGGTCCAGGGGCTTCACATGGAAGTAGGGGCGTTTGATCTGTGGGACACAGAAAGAGCGATTGAGTAGGCTTCTTTTACCTCTTGTAGAAAAGCTAAACGTTTTTTCTACAACTACTAAAACGCATAACATTTAAATTGGAGGACCCAAGTTCCCATCAGCAAAAACACGTCGGTTTGCTATCCTGGCTCCAAAATGGTGGAATGAGCTCCCCATTGAAATCAGGACAGCAGATAGCTTGCACATCTTCCGGCGCAGACTGAAAACTCATCTCTTTCGACTCCACTTCGAGCGATAGAATTACTATCAAAGAATTACTAACAAAGCACTTATATACTAATAAAAGGACTGGCTTATCTAAAGCTAGTTGAGTAGCACTTGAAATGTTTTAGCTCTATGAAACCTGATGTACTTATATGATTCTGTTTTCTTCAAGTTTGTATCTTGTTGGTCGAATGCACTTATTGTAAGTCGCTTTGGATAAAAGCGTCAGCTAAATGCAATGCAATGTAATGTAATTACCAAGCCCCTGGATTGACCAGTTATCAAGCTTTTTGTTTCGTGAATGAATAAACAAAAAAGATGGTGAGGGAGAAACAGCAAAAGTCGAGTTTGAGAGAAGGGAAGGGAACAGAAAAAAACTCACAGCGTCTTCAAAGTTCCATCTCTTCCGGACTTCTCCCTCGTTGTCCTGGTAAACTTTGTCCCTGCGAATCAGCACCTGCTCCCTGATCTTCTGCATCAATTCCTCCTAAAGAGAGCAGAAATTATATTTAATGAATCTATTTTGCGATCACTAAAGAATACATGTTTCAATCGGTAGATGTGTTACTCACTGAGTCTGTGCCCTCGGGGGTTGCGGGCTCTTCCTCCCCGGGCGGCCTCTCCTCCTCTTCCTCCTGAGCCTGCTCCGCTCGCTCTGCTTTCTGAGTCTGACGACAGAACGCCCTCAGCTCCTCGTACTCCTCCGGGGAGAGGACGTCTTTGGGCTCATGGCCGTTCAAATGTTCCTTTAACCTGAAAGTGGGCAGGAGAGGAGGACGGAGCGAGACACAAAATGAGATTAATAGGAGAAGAAAAAGAGTGAACAAGTGTTCAAGTAAAATGGGAATATTCTATCAAGATTACAAAAGGAAACAAACAATGCTTTTGTCTTGTGATTTTCTTAGAAGCAGTTTAAATAGGCACACACACATTAAGCTCCTGTGTGTGTGTGTGTGTGTGTGTGTGTGTGTGTGTGTGTGTGTGTGTGTGTGTGTGTGTGTGTGTGTGTGTGTGTGTGTGTGTGTGTGTGTGTGTGTGTGTGTGTGGTGTGTGTGTGTGTGTGTGTGTGTGTGTGTGTGTGTGTGTGTGTGTGTGTGTGTGTGTGTGTGTGTGTGTGTGTGTGTGTGTGTGTGTGTGTGTGTGTGTGTGTGTGTGTGTGTGTGGTCGTACTTGTCGTAGTGGGTGTTGTAGAGCTGGGTGGGGGCTCTGAGGACTCGGTCCAGGACGGCTGTTGCGTTCTTCATGTTGCCCTGCTCCTTCTCCCACTCCACATACAGATCCCAGAGCCGGTCTGAGTGGAAGTCCAGACCTGCCGCTGAAACCCCCTCCTCGAACACACTGGGGGTTGAGAACGGACAATAAATAAGGTATGAAAACAGCTCTCACAAACAGACCCTTTATTCTGATATTTTATCTTCAATTTCTATTCAAACAGAATAAAAAACAAAACAGAAATACAGGTAAAAACAAAGTCTTAAAGGAGAGTACCTGCGAATCCGATCGGGGGACTCGGGCAGGTTCATGTCCAGAGTCCCCAACAGCAGATTGATGTAATGGATCCACAGATCTACACTGAGAGGGATGACCTGGAGACCCTGAATACACACCTGACACAACAAACCACAACATCAGTTTTTAAGAACCAGTGGAAAACACTTTTTTAAAGCACATATTTACATAGTTGTGGGGAAGAAAAACAAGGCACTGTATATTCTTTCCCGTTTTACCTCCTCTGCTTTGTTGTTGTATCCTGCGCGGCGCTCCAGGTCAGCGTACTTCTTCCAGTAGCCGTAGCAGAGCGGGTAGCGAGCGAGGAAAGCCTCCAGCGCCCTGCGAGACGCTGTCATGTGACTCTGAACAGAGGAGAGGAAGAATGTTTAAATGTCAAGCGAGGCTACAGCAAGCCTCCAGAGATCGAGTGTTTTGTGACGTCATGGGGACTTTAAAAAAAACACCAAAACATTATGTATATACTGAATACAATTAATAAATAATAGAGACAAAACTATAACAAAAAAACTGAAACAGACCAATATACAAAATTAAAACAACCTAACTAAATAACCAAACGTAAAAAATCTTATAAAACAAAAGAAGAAAATAATAAATAAATACAGTTAAAAAGAAAAAGAGAGAGGGAAACAATAGGCTTGATCTTTCTTCATATACAAAAAATTGCCTTTCAGGGCATTTACAATTCTTATTCTCATTCACTTAATTATTTCCGAGAGGAACATTTAGATTTTCCTACATCCTTCATCGTCACTACACTGGTTCCCCCTTCTCTCTCTGGTAAAGCCCCAAACACACACCTCTTGCTCGCAGTACTGCAGCAGGTCGGTCCAGCTGGTGAAGTCCTGAGGATTGTCGTGTGCGGCCTTCCACAGCCGCTCAAAGTCTGCAGGTATTTCTCCCTCCTCGTCCTCTGTAGCCGGGGGCATAGAGAAGGTGGCCGGGTCGGGGCCAACGGAGACCTGAGGGGCCTCGGGGGGGCTGCCGTTCTCTTCGGACATCTCAGTCGGAGGCAAGGCAGGAACCTCAGACGCCTCCATAGCTGAAGAGGAAGTCAATCAAAAAGTCAGACAATCCACATTTAAATAATTAAAGGGTATAATACAGGGACGCTCCTTTTGAAAGCTACTTCTTTTCCCCATCGTTCTTTTCATCGGAAAAGTTGTAACATATTTTTACTGTAAAAAAAAAGAGCATCCCTTCCCTGACTTTAGCCTTTTTGGCCATTATCCTTTTATTTAAGAAACGGTCATTTAAATTGATCTGACATTTTCATCACAGGCCATGGATGACTGGCCAAACAACAATGTCTTAGCCAGCCATTTTTTTTTTAAAACAACAACTTCAGACAACCCAAAGCTATTTTTAATCAGTAAATACAAGACTGCGGAGTTGGTTTGCTGTGATGTTGCACTCATTGTGGTCATTTTCTTGAGATGCTGTGGCACAGAAACACAGGATGTTGAGAGGACGTTCAAGAAACGTATCTAAAAAAAAATACTACTAATAGAAAAATGTAATAAACCTCCATAGGGAAAAAGGCATTGATCAAATTAATGGAATAAGATGTTATTAATGAACCTTTCTCTGCTTCCTGTACACGTCTGTGAAAAATGGCCAAAACAACAACAGTGAGTGAAAACCCCACATGCTTTAAAAATTATAATAAAAAACTAGAGGTACAACAAACTTTAAGTAGAAGATTCATAGTCTGTAAAGTGTTTGTATTACAGCAAGATCTCTCAAGATAAACAAGCAAGGTTAGTGGAAACTGTTTAAAATAACAATGAAGACCAACTCAAGACTGTCATCGAAAAAAACGTAACGAAAACATCACGATAATAAAAGAATAAAATGTCGTACAGTTTTTATGTCAGTCACTGTACTTGTTTATTCACCAGCCAAACCAGTTATGCTGCTAAAGTATAACACGTATCTTTGGACAAACACATTGCAAACACACCCAAGAGAACAAAACATTGAAATGCTATTATTAGGCTTTTATTCTTGAATCGCCTCCTGGTTACACCTGCAGAGCTATGTTTCATTCATTAAAACCAGTTTACGGGTTGGAGCTCCACTGCAGCGATGACTACACTACATGTTGGATGTGTTGTACATAATTCAACTAATAATAAGTTAGCAGAAGCTCAACACTTAGTCAAACCCAGGGGGGAAACATTTAGTGAGTTAAAGTCAGTGAACACAACACTGTGCTGCTGTTTGGGACTGTGTGTACTTGAAATCCCGTTAGCTTAGCCTAGCTCCTCATGCTTGTTTATCCTTAAAGCAGATCCAACCGGAGCCTTAACTTGAAATCCTTGCAGGTGAAAGGAAAGCCCAGTTATATCTATCAAATAACGTAAGTGTGCATTGTATATTTATTAAGGTTATTGAAACTACCTGAGGACTCTTCCAGCTCCCCGTTGCCGCTCAACTCGTCACAGCCTTCTGCCGCCATGATGGGAAACAACGTCTCGCTGACGTCATTAACATGCGACAAGACACCGATGAACACTTTTAATTCAAACAGCAGGCCAATCATTAAACTGTGATATTTATCCTCGTCTAGGCTGAACAGACAATTCATGATTCAACATAATCAATGTACACAGGCAATATTAATAGTACAGATAAAAAAAATCACAAGTGATTGTAAGTTATTAAGACATGATTTCATTGGTCAGATCATTTGATAGTAAGAGATCTTTTGCAGTTTCCATTAACTTCAGGGAATTAACAGTGTAAAGTTGTATTATAGTAGCACATTATTTGGCCATATGAATAACTAATTTATCTATAATTAGTAAAACATTGACCATTCTGTGGCGGTGCAAATGTCTGCCTGAGACAGCAAAATTAGTATAATGTTCAATAATAGCTTTTTCTACTTAACCATTTCATTAACTGTTGCCAGAACTTGATAAGAGAGCATGAAACAAAGAGATGCTCTGTTCTTTCAATAAAATACTCATTGAACACAAAACATATTCTCAACAAATATAAAAACGTTGCCGATATGAACAGTTTTCTACTCAATATGTACGCCTATAAAACAACAAACAGGTGTTGACCCCTGTTAATGTAGGAGATCGTAATGAAGTACTTTTTCGTCCATTTGATACAATTGTTTTTATTTCACATATTACAGTTACACAACTATATATTCTTACCATTTACTCAACTTGACTTTTTATTAGCTAGTATTCCTACCTACATTAATGTTAATTTATTATTCAGTTTTTTCTCATCATAAGAATGTACAATTTTTTTTTTTTTAAAGATGACATTTGTTGTTTAAGGACAGACTCCATACCTTTGAGAAAATGGTAAACAAACAACATAAGTAGGAAAGAATAAAAATTGAGTTCTTTTACATTTGGTCAACTTTATTTTCACTTGGTCTCATCTTTTAGAGTACATCTGACAACTTTGACAGTCAGTTCCTTCACTTCCATTTCCTCCAATTCAAGCCATCACCAACAAAATTGCAGCAACATGTACATTTATGATCATAAAAACAATCGAGCAGACAAACTCAAAACAACAAAACCCCTAAAAAGGTCCAACGATCCGATTAGTTGGGACACAATCCAGAGTCACCAGAAAATTATTGGAATATTAATCACTCTTCAAGAAGTGAATCAAAAAGGCAACATCATGAAACATCTTTAAGGATTAGATTTAACACCTTGATTAAGATCCAAATGAAGCACTGGAGATGCCGCATGGTCCCGACACCTAGTTAAACATGAAAAATCTAAACATCTTTTAAAGTTCTCAATCACGCTCAAGTGCATTAAAAAGAAAATATCTAGTAAACAAAGCTTGGAAAATAAATCAATAAAAAAAGGAAAGCATGTCAACATCATCATCCGCAAACATCAGTGGTTCAGTCCCCGGAAGCGATTCCCACTGCCAAGTTTGTTCAAAAGAACGCCTGAAAATCCCATCTCTGTGCACCAGCTGAACGACCCGAGCCCTTCCGTACTGAACAATGAATTATTTCCATGCACATACATTTATCTCTGAGGCCACATAGGAATGAACTTGCAGCTAAGAAAGAGGCTTTCCATTTGATGGCATCAATAAGTTCAGCAGGATGGAAGTTACATGTGAAGAAGGACAGCTGATTGTTGGCAAGCCCTCTCCAAAATCTATGAAATGTGGCACGAGTAAAGGTCGAGGTCTGAGCTGAATGAAGTGCTTGGCTTTAAAGAGGGGTGGAATGCATGTTAAGAGCATTAAGTCAGAAACAGATAAGAGGAAATCAACAGCAGGTGGGGCGAGTCTGCTTTGACCTTCATTTTAAATCCCAGTGATCTTTATTCTGAGTGGATGGACAACAACTTAGAAGATTAAAGAAGAAAAAATAGAGTGCCTGCAGGTTTTCTTTCTTAACCCAATGGATTCTTTAAAATTACATTATTTTTCTGAATTGTTATCTATTTGAAAAATGTGACAAACGTGATTATCTATCTGGAAGTAACCTCCTCTTGTTGTTAGGTATTACAGTGCGACTGAACACAAGAGGGACATGGCAGCAACGTTACGTGGCTCAGCTCGACTGACAGGTCTACATGGGTTTGAGAGTGTGAGTGCGTGCGTGTGTGTGCGTGTGTGTGTGAGTGTGTGTGTGCGTGTGTGTGTCTCTGTGTATATAATGCATTGTGTGTGTTTATGTCCTTTATTTTTCATGATGGCTATCCTGTTGTCTTGCTGTAGTTAGTCATGGGCATCACCGCTTCCCTCTCACTCTGTCTCTCTCACTCTCTCTCTCGTCAGTAATTTCCTCCTCCTCTCCTCTCCATGGTTACTGAAGCATCACGTTCCAGTCTGCCCCGGCGTTCATGCCGGGCTTGCGGAGCGTCAACACCGACATGGAGGCGTCAAAGTCAAACTCTACCTGGCTCTCCTGACCATCTGCAAAACAGAAAGAGTGTTAGAATAAAAACTTTTGGAAAGAATAATCTCACAGCGGAAACATTCTTTTAAATCCTTAGGGTGCAACATGAGAAACCAACAACCTTGAAGAAACAGTGTTAATTTGGTTAATGAAAACTATGATTTAATATCGTAATTACATCCTTTTTTTCCTATAACTAAGACGATATAGAAACAACTTTAACTCGATCAAAATCCTTCATTATTTTTAATGACAACACAAGGGCTTGGGGAAAAGAAACTAGGTGATAGTTTGGAGACACCAGATTTACCAAAATGTTCAGTATAATCAGAGTAAAAAAATAAAAATCCCAAAAGTTTTCATCAACTTGAATCATACTTAAATTGTTTTTCTTTTAAAACTTTACTTTCTTTGACTAAGATGGCTACATTTTAGTCTACCTGAATTTGCCCCAAAAAACAGAATAATATTCCTGAAAAATTAAAAATAAAAACATAACAGAAACTCAGCCCCCTTTATTAACACATTCTTAAATAAGCACTTATTAAATCAAAAAGGGAACTTGAAACTGTTACCTCTTGGAAAGCAGCTAAAATGCATCTAAACAGATTACTTCAGTCAATCTCCACTCACCATCAGTCTTCAGGAGCACCTTGCTGGGCTTACTGGCTCCCAGTATGACGATGCGTTCGATCCAGGAGCCAGTGGAGAACTGGGCCTCTGGAGCCAGGTTACTGTGGAACAAGCAAAGACACATTCAATTCCCTTATGTCAACTATAGAGAAACACCTACAATACAAATCATATTGGTTTTTAGATTATTTTAGCTTAAACCTTTTCTCTACTGAACTGAAACAGAGAACACTCATGACTCACACAGAAGAGAGGACGTTGTTGGCGAAGGACAGCCTCCTGTGGATGAACTCCTTTTCATAGTTGAAGGTGTGGCCGTCGTCTATGTAGAGCTCACCCTCTGCAGTTCTCTGTCAGACAGAAGGTCAACATGTCAGAAATGACAATGCAACCTTTCAAAAAAGCAGTGGATGACAGTTTTGACGATTGAGTTACCTGCAGGTTGAGGGCCACATATAAGGTGTAGGGATCCTGCATCATGCAGGAAGAGGACCTGCGCACTCGAATCTTCCTGGGAATAATGGAGCCTCCACGCTGGAACACAGGGATCTGAAGACAGGAAGCTCCATATTAACACCAGAGGAAACGAAGCAAATAAACAACTATATAAGGCCTTAAAGTGAAGAAATGGAGTATCTTACAGAACTCATGGTGACAGGGATGTAAAGGTTCTGGGCTCCGTTGTGCTTCTGGAAGGTGTGGACGTCAAACCAGACCTGAGGAACACAAGCACAAGAGTTACACCAACGTTTGTTCAACACAATGGACACCTGAAACGGCGGTCATCTCCTATAAAGAATGTTTGAATCTAAAGTTCAACCTAAAGACACCACAAAGAGACAGTCACTGTACAGCAGAGTCGCAGATCTGAGGAGCTCTGACTGTGCTTCTTCCTCTCACCTGGTCTTTCCCTGGCAGGTACGCAGTGACCCCCCTGGCTCCCTCTTCAGTAACTGGGTGCACCAACAGGTCTCTCCCTGTAACAATTTAATTCAAAATGTAATTAAAGTCTCACCTCGTGTAAGTCAGCTGTTTCAGGGCTCAACTGAACAGATCCACACCAAACACGTTATATCATTATGTCACAACAGTAACAACAGCATGGTTATTCTATAATTCTATATATATATTGTATCATTTAGGAGGCAAGTCTGACCAGCAAACATGTTTGTTTCTTAAAACTAAAATCATAAATCGATCTCACTTTTAACAAGAACATTATTTTGTTTCTTTTTGTCTCACCGATTAAGTACTCGTCTTCCAGAGCGAAAGTAGCAGGATCCTCAGGATACTCCACCCACAGAGGTCTGAAACAAGGTAACATTATTTCACAATATGTTATCCACATCAAAGCAAATGACTGAAAACTGCAGTAATTAAATGAACATAAAAATTGTTTTCTGTGAATTTAGTTTTTAATGTCCATTTCCCTGTATTGGGCAAATAATGCACATTGATGGGAGATGGTTTTGTAACTCATCACTACAGGGTAAGAGGACATAAAGACACAAACTATTTGCCCCGTCCTCACCTCATGATGGGCTCCCCGGTGCGGTGAGCGTGGTAGAACTGCAGGTACCAGTAGGGCAGCAGGGTGTAGCGCTGGCGCACAGCTTCACGGATCAGCGCCGTGTTTTCTGGACCGAATAGCCAGGGCTCGCGGCGGGGGGTGTCCAGGTGGGCGTGGGCCCGGAAGAAGGGCTGGTACGCTCCCGTCTGGTACCAACGCACCAGCAGCTCCGTGTTCGGGGTCTTGAAGAAACCTCCAACGTCAGCTAGGAGACAGACAGGTGGGGTCAGTGTTAGTGCTGGAGCTGGGCTATTCAGAGGAGGATGTACATAAAAGAGGCAGACACAACGACCTCCTGAGATCTTCTACATCTAGAGCTTAACCGAAGGGGAAGACATTTGTTTTTCTTAAACTAAATGCAAGTTTATTTAACCTCAGT